AGAAAGGAGAGAATAAACAGTTTTGGAATGTAGGTTGTTCACTCATTCATTCAACAAATATTTATTGAGTACCCACTTGGTACTGTCCTAGATACTGAGAATATAGTGGTGAACAAAAAAGAATAAATTGTTGCCTTTATGGAACTTACATTCCAGTGAGGGCAATGGTCAATAAAGAAACTAAAAAGAAAATATATCTTATAGTAGACATGCTGTGAGGAAAAGTAAAGCAAAGAAGGGAGACACAAAACCTCAGGTAGTGGTTATGATTTTAAATAAGATGGTCAGGGAGGCTTCAGCGAGATGACATTTGAATAAAGGCTGGAAGATGGTGAAGAGAGTGAGTCGTGAGGCTTTCTGGAGGAAGAGCATTCCAGGCAGAGGGAACAGCAAGTGCAAAGGCCCTGAGGCAGGGCCATGACTAGTATGTGGGAGAAACAGCAAGGAGGCTTTTGTGGCTAGAACAGAGTGAGGGAAAGGAGAGAATGGGAGGAAGTAAGGACAAAGGAGTGATGGGGATGAGATCAGTTAGGGCCTCGTGGGTGACTAAGAACTTCGGCTTTTCCTCCGAGTGAGAAGGGGCTCAGCAGTGTCATGATCTGACTTATACTTGAACAGAGTCCCTCTGATTGGTATGCTAGGAATAGATAGAAGAGGTCAAGGCCAGAAGCAGAGACCAGTGTAGCAGCCATCACGAAAATCCAGGAGAAATCATGGTGGCTCAGACTACCAGTTAGTAGCAGTGGGGATGGTGAGAAGCAGCTGGATTCTAGACTCACATGGAAAGTAGAGCTGATGGGATTTCCTGAAGAAGATCTTCAGGACTCTGTGCTGAATGTTTTGTTTTGTTTTTTCTTAAAAGTTTATTTACAAATTACTTATTTACTTATCAAATCAACTTTATCAAGGTATAATTTCCATGTAATACAATGTATACTTTTAAGTGTACAGTCTTGACAAGTGCGCACCTGTGTAACCACTGGCACAATCAAGACGTGGAACATTTCCATCAAGTCAAAAAGTCCACTTTGCAGTGCATCCCTCCCACTCCCAGCCCCTGGTAACCACAAATCTGCTTTCTGTCACAATAGGTTAGTTTTTTCTAGACTTTCATGCAATTGGAATCATACGGTTTGTACTCTTTTGTCTCTGGCCTCATTCACTGAGAATTTTTTGATATCCACCCATGTTGTGTGTATGAGCAGTCTGCTACGTTTTACTGATAACAGGCATTCACTGAGTGGTTGACCACAGTTTATTTACCAGAGATGGACCTTTTTTATGTTGTTCCCATTTTTTTGTCTCTTTTTTAATCTTCCTGAAAACTCCGGAAAGCAGGTATTATTTTTCTATTTTCCAGATGAGGAAATTGAATATCAGAAGTAACTTGTCCAAGGTTCCCCACCTTAGCTGATATTTGAAACCGGTTTGTCTCTGACTCCACGTTTCTTTCTGTCCTTCTGCCTCCCATGTAACTGTGGCCACAAGTGAATGAACTTGGGAAATGGAACATATCACTTTTCCTTCTATCCACGTCCTCATTTTCTCATCTTTTGCACCAGACTCTCATTTCTCCATTCTCTGCACCTGCCACACAATCCCATTTTCCCACTTCCACAGCTTGAGTCAAGCCTCAGTTCAAATCCCAGTTCTGCTCCTTCCTTACTGTGTTACTTTGGGCAAGTCACATCACCTCTCTGAACATCAATCCCCCTGTGACATTGAGATCATATTTGCATCTTCCTCTACTAGATCGTGCCCAGTGCTCCCTCCCTTCTCTGCCTCTCTCCGTTTCTCTTTGGCTCTTTTATAGCTGATATTCCATGACTGTTGGGTTTTTTTGTGGACGGTCATTATAGGGAGGAAGCCCTAATGTTCCTCTTACCCCTGGCTGCTTCTACCTGCTGTACAGAGGGTATAGACCTCTCTGACAAATTAAAACAGAGTTTCTGGTGATGAGGCCTAGGGATCTCTATTTTATTTTTAGAGTGTCTAATGTGGCAGTCAGGGTTGAGAACAGTGGACTCAGAGCATGAGCTTTGGGCATCAGGTTTGAGTTTATTTCCTGCTTTCCTGGTCAAGTCGCTTAACCTCTCAGACCACTGACTTCCTCTCTTGTAAATGAGCATCACCATGGGACCCACCTCACAAGACTGTTGAGAGGTTTAAGTGAGCCTTTGGCACTGTGCTTGGTCTTCAACAGGGCCCTTCATGGTGAAAAGGCCAGAGCGAGGTAGGAGTGGGGGCCTGAGTTGGAGCAGCCTGTGCTGGGAGGGATTGGGCAGTGTGGAGTCATGAGGATGTGCTGTCCTTCCCTTCCAGAGTCACGGTGCCCCCATTTCTATAAGCCCTGTGTGTCAAAGTTAAGCCAAACCTTGATTTGCTTCATATCCAACAAGTCATTTACCGATGGGGCCATGGAGGCCTTAAGATGGAAAGAGAAGCTCAAGGTCAAACAATGAGATGGAGTTTCTGGACAGGTTCAGCCGATCAATCGGCGAGTATTTGTGGAGCACCTTTATGTACCAGGCACTCTTCCAGATGCCGAGGGTACATTGGAGAACAAAACAGGAGAGATCCCTGCCCTCATAGAGCTTCTATTCTAGCAGGGGGAGCAAAGCAATAAATATAATAAATACATCATATGGTATGTTAGAAGGTGATCGATGCTATAGAAATAAAGTAAAAGTAGATCAGCGATATCTGGGTGCTTGTGGGGGTGCGGGCAGATTGCAGTTTTAAATAGGGTGGTCAGGGTACAGCTCCTTGAGCGAAGACTTGCAGGTTACTGGAGGAAAAGAGTTCCAGGCAGAGGGAACAGCCTGTGCGGAGGCCTGGATGGGAGCGTGCCTGTCGGATTGTGCTTAGGGGTCCTTGGCTGGCTGTTCAGTTACCCAGTCATCCTGAACAAGATTTGTTGAGAAGATCATTTGGTGGTTTTGGTTAACCAGGGGAAAGTATCAGCATGTGTTCAAAACAAAGACTCTGAATTCCCTCTCCCGGCCACGCTCCAATTCATTGTGCCAGACACTGTTCTACATACTGGAGGCAGGAAGATGAAGGCAGAGAACTGGCTTTCCGTGGTGCTGCCTGGGAAAGAGAGACCTAGGAAGTGGAAGAGGTGTGAGGGAGGCAAGGGGATATGATGAGCTAGAAATGGCTGTGTAACATCTGGGGGGCATCCATCTCCAAGCTGACATGTGGAGCTACAGAGGGGAGGGGAAGGGGTTGAGGATATATTTATGGGGGTCAGCCGGACATAGATGACAGTGATAAAAACACCAGATGATACAAGCACCCAGGGATGATGTGAAGAGGTTTTGGATGCAGCCAGGGGGAGGTCAGCACATTAGGTTGGAGGTGGGATATGGAGATATTGTGTCAATTTGTTCACACAATTCCGGTGATCTCACACATTAGCACAACTTTGTAGAACAACAGTATCACGCATATATCTTTTCTTTTAGAGTTTTTCAGAGTATTAGGTCATTTAAACCTCAAACAACCCTGAGGTAAGAGGCGATTATTATCTCTGACAGACGAGGAAGCTGAGGTACAGAGAGGTTAAGTCACTTGCCCAATATTACACAGCTAGTAAGGGCAGAGGCAGGATGTGGACCCAGCAGCCTAGCTTTGGGGTCTGTGCTCCTAACCACTACTGTGCTACCTCTACACAGTAGTGGTTAGGAGCACTTACAGAGCCTTGTTCCCAGGAGTGCATGTGCTTACCCATGGACACGCAAGGCCTTTGTTGCTGACATCTCCTTGTATACGCCACTATCCTGCATACACGTGGTCTTACATGGTCTCAGTTTCACTAATGCTGACAACCTCACACACTCATTTTTCTTAGAATGCCTCATGTGACTTTGTGCTTTAATACTCAAATGGCCTGGCACACTCAGAACTTCTTACACACATCCATAATGTCACCTCCAGTGGGCACTCACCCCACTGTGTACACACTGCATTGCACACTCATGATCTCTTATAGTCAAAAGACACTGATATGCATGCCCATAAAAGTCTTCTATACACATGGCCTTGCACAAATATATGCTCTTTCATGCTTTTCAACACAGCCCCAGGTTCTCCAACGTTCACCCTATCGTGCAAACTTATTGCCTTATTCATTCATGAGCTTGGATATTCACATCACCTTGCACACTATAACCATGCACATGCATCTAACCTTATATATAGACAGAGCCTTGCCTGCTACACAAATTTACACACTTACCCTCTAACGATCTTGCATCCTCACTCAATTTTGCCTTTCCTCACACACTCAAGACCTCGAATGCTAACATAAGCTTATGTTGCACCCCATTATGACATGTTCAGATGATCTCTGTGTACACATTGCCTGTGCACTCATGGTTCTTCCTGTTCCTACTGCCTCGCATACCCCCACAAATGCAAATATTCACTTTACTACATAAATTCACTGCTTGCCCACTTACATTCTTGTGTGATTCAAAATCTGTGCACAGTCATTTAAATTCGCACTCAGGGAACCTCACCTGCTCATACAACGTCACACTTAAAACTGACTCACTTGCTCTGTTTTGCACACTAAAAACCTTGGCGTGTTTCCACCAACAGAAATATTTATACCATCATGTAAACTCCTTCCAGCGTTTTCATTAGTGTTCTTGCACACTCGTTTAACCTCGCACATTCCTAGGGCCCTACCTGCTCTCATAACTTCACACATTGATGCTCTGACTCATACAACCTCACTCCATCTTGCACACCTGTGACCATGTCATGCTCCCATCAACAGAAATATTTACACCGCCATGTAAACTCTTTCTGGCTTGCCTACTTATGTTCTTGCACACTCACGTAACCTCACACCCTCGGGACCTCGCTTTGCTTCCATAACTTGGAACCCCTTGCCCCTTAGATGGCCTTGCCCGCTCCTGCCCTGGCACACCCAAGTCACTGTGCAGGGGCCCGTCGTGCTGCCCACTGACGTGCCCTTTCCTCACCCGCAGGGACGTACCAAGGCCAGTTCACGAACGGCATGCGCCACGGCTACGGGGTGCGCCAGAGTGTGCCCTACGGGATGGCCGTGGTGGTGCGCTCGCCGCTGCGCACGTCGCTCTCGTCCCTACGCAGCGAGCACAGCAACGGCACAGTGGCCCC